AAGAAGCATGCAAATTAATATACTTCTTTATATGTAAACAATGTTAAATTGCTGAACCTGATTTACAATATGCATGCTATTTATCCATGAACATATCTCTGTAAAGCAAAAGTTATTTCCCTAACATAGCAATCCTATGGGCAGAATGTAGAGGATGAGGAGAACTGAAGGTAGTAGAATTAACTTATGCAAAAGAGGGGAAGAATAGCTATCCCCTTCTTTTATCATTTCCTCATATTTATTTATTTACAGTATTTGTACACTGTCTATCTCAACCCTGAAGAGGACTCAGGACAGTTCACAGTGTTGGCAACAATTCAATGCCATTGATAAAAACAGTATAAAATATCAAAATTGACCCTCCCCTGATAAAACATTAAACATTATTAAACACAGCTCATAAATTCATATATCACACAAAGACATAGCCATTGTCCATAAACGGTCCTGGGTCATTGCATTTTCAACTTTCACTTGAACTTTAAATATTTCTATTGCTTCTAATGGGAAATATGTTATGTGCAAATGTATGGCTAGAATAGTGTGTATGCTTCTCCCAATTCCTGTGGCTTAAAACATCCCAACCAAATGAAGTCAACAACTCTTGTGTTGCATGAGGGGTGTGCGGATGCACATTGTTTTGAAAGTCAGCATCCCACGTTGTTTGTTTTGGATGGCTCTGCGAAGTTTCTTCATGGTCTCACATTATATCCCATACCCATTTTGTCACCTGCTGTCTTGACATTACATCCTCTTCCTAAACTGAAATGATTTTGTGATGCCCTTAGCATTTAGGGAGTGTATTACAGTATGAACTCCACACTTGGAGGGAAACAGAATGAGGACGCTCATCTCTACCCTTCACAACAACGCTAGTTGATGATCTACTGATGAGTGGCACAGCTCATTTGCTTCCACTGCCTTTCTACTACATGGCAATGATACTAACTTCCCCCAGAAAATTCCCCATGAGAGCTATGTGCCTTGTAACCCTACTTTACAGATAACCCTCATATGTCCATTCTCCTGCTAATGAGGAGGGGGTTTGCACCCACATGTGGCCTCAATGAAATAATAATACTACAACTAGTAAAGGTAAGGTAAAGGTTTTCCCCTGACATTAAGTCCAGTTGTGTCTGACTCTGGGGTGTGGTGCTCATTTCCATTTCCAAGCTAAAGAGCTGGCATTGTCCGTAGACACCTCCAAGGTCATGTGGCTGGCATGACTGCATGGAGCGCTGCTACCTTCCCGCCAAAGCGGTATCTATTGATCTACTCACATTTACATGTTTTCGAACTGCTAGGTTGGCAGAAGCTGGGGCTGACAGCAGAAGCTCACACCGCTCCCCGGATTTGAACCTGTGACCTTTCAATCAACAAGCTCAGCAGTTCAGCGTTTTAACCCACTGCGCCACCGCGAACTCCATACTACCACTACTAACAACTTTATTTATTTATATTTATTTATTTATTTATATCCCGACTTTCTCTTCCCCAAGGAGGACTCAAGGCAGCTTACAAGTGGCACTTACATAGTGCCTTAAAAATACGTTCTTAAAAAATAAATTGGATTAAAATTAAGACATATTAAACATAACTAAAATATATTCCAATGTTAAAAACACGCCATCTCCCCAAAGGGACTCAGGGCGGATTCTAATCACAAAAGGGCAAACATTCAGTGCCTAAATACAACAACCAATACAAAAATAATAGCAAAAACAATAACCCAACATATAAAATCAAATTATAACTTAAAATCTAAAATTAAGATAAAAAAGAACCTATCAAATAAATGATATCAACATAGAACAATTCATGAAACAAAAGCATCAATTTGCCAGAGCCGACCGAATGCCAGTTCTTTCCATATTTTAGGCAGTGTAGAAGCGCTCTATGATTCTTAGCCACACAACTGCTGTTACTTATTCAAAGTATGAACAAATTGCCTTTCTCTGGAATTGGTGTGAGAGCAGTTTACAGAATCAGAATATTGCCCACTTTCAAAGCAATACCCTTTGAAGAGATATAAAATTGTACAACTGGAATGTCACCTTCAAAGCAGAAGGTGGTATTGTTATGATTCCAGTGGGTACAATCACTTACCAAGTGAACAAAACTGCAATTAAACATCACTGGTAATAACTAGTTAATGAGTAAGCTGCACAACGCAACTACAGTCGGTCCTTCACACTTGAGGACAGATTCTTTATGTCCTCAAGAACAACTTTAAGGCCAATGTTCATTACACGTTGACCAGAGAGTTGTGCAAGAAGACCTAGAGATTCCTAGAGCGCATACCCTTCTATTTTGCCTTGGTTAGACCACACCTGGAATATTGTGTCCAATTCTGGGAACCACAATTGAAGAGAGATATTGACATGCTGGAATGTGTCCAGAGGAGGGCAACTAAAATGATCAAGGGTCTGGGGGACAAGCCCTATGAGGAGCGGCTTAAAGAGCTGGGCATGTTTACTCTGCAGAAGAGAAGGCTGAGAGGAGACATGAGAGCCATTTATAAATATGTGAGAGGAAGTCATAGGGAGGAGGGAACAGGCTTGTTTTTTCTGCTGTCCTGGAGACTAGGATGCGGAACAATGGCTTCAAACTACAAGAAAGGAGATTCCATTTTTACATTAGGAAGAACTTCCTGACTCTGAGAGCTGTTCAGCAGTGGAACTCTCTGCCCCGGAGTGTGGTGGAGGCTCCTTCTTTGCTGGCTTTTAAACAGAGGCTGGATGGCCATCTGTCGGGGGTGCTTTGAATGCAATTTTCCTGTTTCTTGGCAGGGGGTTGGACTGGATGGCCCATGAGGTCTCTTCCAACACTATGATTCTATTATTCTACCAACACTGTCAAATTAATGCAATTTGATACTACTCTAACTGCCATGGCGCAAAGCTATGGAATCCTGGGATTTGAAGTTTGTTGTGGCACTAACACTCTTTGGCAGAGAATGCTAAAGACCTAATAAAACTACAACTTCTGTGCTTCCTTAGCATTGAGCCACGGCAATGGGAGTGGTGTCAAACTGCATTAATTCTGTAGTGTAGATGTACCACTAGAGAGGTGTTTGTTCTCTCTCGGATTTTTATACATTTTTGCCACATTTGCAGGGGTCCAGCACCACTAACCTCAGCAAATATGGAGCACTGACTGTAACAGAATTATTATTTCTCTTGCTTTTCATTCACTGAATCCCTATTGGGCCTTGCTTGTTTTCAAAAGAAGATCTTTACTTGGGTCTGCTGCCATCTGCTGGCAGACATTTGTTATCACTACTTCAAAAAGTCCAACTTAAAAAAATCACTTGTCTTTTAAGGAACTAGCTATAGTGACATTGAAATACAATACTGCCTGAGCTCTGCGAGTGCAGCTTTTTTTCTGAATGAACCACAGGTGTTTGAGGACTGGGACATCCGTAGGGAGACCAAGGTGTTCGTTTATAAAGCTATTGTCCTCCCAACCCTGCTATACACCTGCGAGATGTGGACTGTCTACAGACGTCACATGCAACTCCTGGAACGATTGCATCAGTGTTGCCTCCAAAAAATCCTACAAATCTCTTGGGAAGACAAGCAGACAAATGTCAGCATGCTGGAAGAAGCAAAGACCACCAGCATTGAAGTGACGGTCCTCCACCATCAACTCCGTTGGACTGGCCACGTTGTCTGGATGCTTGACCACTATCTCCCAAATGAGTTGCACTACTCTGAACTCAAGAACGGAAAACCGAATGTTGGTGGGCAGGAAAAGAGATTTAAAGATGGGCTCAAAGCCAACCTTAAAAACTCTGGCATAGACACTGAGAACTGGGAAGCCCTGGCCCATGAGCGCTCCAGTTGGAGGTCAGCTGTGACCAGCAGTGCTGCAGAATTTGAAGAAGCACGAATGGAGGGTGAAAGAGAGAAACATGCCAAGAGGAAAGTGCGTCAAGCCAACCCCAACCAGGACTGCCTTCCACCTGGAAACGGATGCCCTCACTGCGGGAGAAGATACAGATCAAGAATAGGGCTCCACAGTCACCTACGGACCCACTGCCAGGACACCGAACTTGGAAGACAATCCTACTTGGACAACGAGGGATCGCCTAAGTAAGTAAGTATAATGATACTCTATGAAAAGCACATTCTTGTACCATCCATCCCTATTTTTCAACATAAGTGAAATAAAACAAACATTATATCCTTATTGGCAAAGACAGTCTAAATTGTTTTCTCTATGTTTATGACTAAAGGAGTATCATCCTAGGATGTATCTGTACAGGCCTGTATCCTAGCATCTGATTCCCGATTATCTGTTTTGTACTTTATTATATGAGTCTACACTGCCAGATAATCTGGGATAAACAAATAATCTGACATTAGATCCTTCGATATGAGGCAGTATAGATCCACCCCTGGTCTCTATCAAGCTACAAAGCCTAGAGGCGTATGGGTAGCACAATGTCATAGGGCCCTTCCACACAGCCCTATATTCCAGAATAGCAAGGCAGGAAATCCCACAATATCTGCCTTGAACTGGGTTATCTGAGTCTACATGCAGATAATGTGGGATTTTCTGCCTTGCTATTCTGGGATATAGGGCTGTGTGAAAGGGCCCATATATAATACATCTTTACTGTGGAGTTAGCTCAGTCTGATACCACTTTACCTACCATGGCGCAATGCTATGGAATCTGGAGATGTGGAGTTTCCAAGGTGCTTGGCCTTCTCACCCAAAAAGAGCCTGTGCCACACCAAAACTACTAAAATTCCATTGCATTGGGCCGTGGCGTTTAAAGTGGTGTCAAAACTGTATTTATTCTACTGTGTAGATACAGCTAGTAGATACAATGAGACCTCCTCCCCGCTCTCCTGCCTAAAACAGCTAAACCGCCACTTCCGCCACACACCCCAACATGGCGACTTCATACCAACGCGTTTTGACCTTCCTCCCATGGGCCTTTTCGGCAAGTCCCGCCTCTCCAGCGGGAATGCAGCGTTCCCTTTGGACGGAGACCGGAAGTGGCTACCTAGTCCGGGAATTTTAAACCTTGGCAGGCGGCTGGGAAAAACTGGGAGTGGAGAGTCGTTGGGTCCGTTGTTTCTTTCTCCTGGTGAGTGGATAAAGGGTACAGCGGTGCTTCTCTTTCCTTTTATATGGGGTTCTTCCTTCCCTCTAATTAAACTAAGGCCCCTTCCACACAGCTGAGAAAAAATTCCCACATTTTCTGCTTTGAACTGCAACTAAAATGATCAAGGATCTGGAGAACAAGCCCTATGAGGAGCGGCTTAAGGAGCTGGGCATGTTTAGCCTGAAGAAGAGAAGGCTGAGAGGAGATATGATAGCCATGTATAAATATGTGAGAGGAAGCCACAGGGAGGAGGGAGCAAGCTTGTTTTCTGCTTCCTTGGAGACTAGGACGAGGAACAAGGGCTTCAAACTACAAGAAAGGAGATTCCATCTGAACACGAGGAAGAACTCCCTGACTGTGAGAGCCGTTCAGCAGTGGAACGCTCTGCCCCGGAGTGTGGTGGAGGCTCCTTCTTTGGAAGCTTTTAAACAGAGGCTGGATGGTCATCTGTCAGGGCTGCTTTGAATGCAATATTCCTGCTTCTTGGCAGGGGGTTGGACTGGATGGCCCACGAGGTCTCTTCCAACTCTATGATTCTATGATTTGTGGGGCTAAGCAGGGACAGCACTTGTCAGTACTTGGACGGAAGGCCACCAATAAATACCAGGTGTCTTAAGGCCCTTTCCACACAGCTGTATAAGATCCCATGTTATCTGCTTTGAACTGGATTATATGGCAGTGTGGACTCACATAACCCAATTCAAAGCAGATATTTTGTATAATCTGCCTTCATATTCTGGGTTATATGGCTGTGTGGAAAAGCCTTTAGGCTATTTCAGAGGAAGAAGCTGGCAAACCCCCAAATATCTCATGAAAATTTGGTAGGGAACTTGAATATGCAAAAAGGCCCTGTTTTCTCTGGGAAATTTGGACTTCTTTCTGAAAACTGAAGCAAAGGTGTGTTTACATCAGGGGTCCTCAAACTTTTTAAACAGAGGGCTAGGTCCCAGTCCCTCAAACTATCATCATCAACATATTTAATTACTTATTAATCGCCTTCCATCCAAGATGCTCCAGAAATTATACAGGATAAAACACATACAAACAAATATTAAAATTAACATGGGTCAAACTATAGGAGGGTCGGATTATAATTGGAAAAAAAACATGAATGAATTCCTATGCACACTGCACATATCTTATTTGTAGTGCAAAAAAACTTAAAAACAATACAATAATTAAAATGAAGAACAATTTTAACAAATATAAATTTATTAGTATTTCAGTGGGAAGTGTGGGCCTGCTTTTGGCTGATGAGGTAGGATTTTTGTTGTGTACTTTCAAGTCATTTCAGACATATGTTAACCTTGAGCGAGGGCCAGGCAAATGACCTTGGAGGGCTGCATCTGGCCCCCGGGCCATAGTTTGAGGACCCCTGGTTTACATGATGGTGAGAGGAACAGAAGTGTCTCTGGGCATATATATAGAGTGTTCCCATAAGGTATGGCCTTTACCTCAGTGGGTTAGCTTGAACTTCTCTCTCCTTCTTTAAAAATTCCATAGGTTTAGGTAACATTATGAGTCCCTGCTTGGCCATAGAAACTCACTGTGTGATCTTGGGTAAGTCACACACACTCAGCTTCAGAGGAAAACAAAAGCAATTCCCCTCTATACAAATTCTTGCCAAAGAAGCCCCATAATAGGAATGACGTGAAGGCATCCAACAACATGGCAATGTGTGTTCAAAAAACTTGAGGAACACGATAAAATAAAAAATATAGCTCATGTTGGTCTTTATTGTATTTATTTTCAATCAAAATAAGGTGACTAATGAAACTTGGAAGTGGGCTGATAATGTTGACTTAAATATATGCTATAGCAGGGGTCCTCAAACTAAGGTCCGGGGGCCGGATACGGCCCTCCAAGGTCATTTACCCGGCCCTCGCTCAGGGTCAACCTAAGTCTGAAACGACTTGAAAGCACAAAACAACAACAACAATCCTATCTCATCAGCCAAAAGCAGGCCCACACTTCCCATTGAGATACTAATAAATTTATATTTGTTAAAAATTGTTCTTCATTTTAATTATTGTATTGTTTTAAAGTGTTTTTGAACTACAAGATATGTACAGTGTGCATAGGAATTCAATCATGTTTTTTTTTTTTTTCAAATTATAATCCGGCCCTCCAACGGTTTGAGAAGCTCTGACCTGGCCCTCTGTTTAAAAAGTTTGAGGATCCCTGTGCTATAGTGTAGCAGCCAAAGCAATTATGGTTATGTTGTTCTGGAAAACAAGTGGTTGAGAAAGATGTTCATTATAATGTAAGAAATAAAATGATGGGTTTCAGATTACACTATGTAAAGCAATTTTTGTCCCTGGGTTATAAATGTCGTTTCCTAATTGGATCAATTAAAATTTGAAAAAAGTTTCTTAAACTGGCAAAAATATGATAGCTGGGACCCAATGCTGGTTGTGCAATGCGGGTCAGAATTACACTCGCGCAGCAAGTGAGAAACTCTGGTGCGTGCTATAAACTTAACTATTGCTAACTGCCATTTTTTTTACCATCCTTCACTATAACTCAAACTTAACTTAATTACATGTGGATTTTTGTTTTTGTCGTGTCAGGAGCGACTTGAGAAACTGCAAGCCGCTTCTGGTGTGAGAGAATTGGCCGTCTGCAACGACGTTGCCCAGGGGACGCCTAGATGAATGGATGTTTTTATCATCCTTGTGGGAGGCTTCTCTCGGGGATTACATGTGGATGAAGCGTTCTATAAATTTAACGCCACCTTGCGCACGTCTTCGCTTCTCTAATTCTGACCCGCATTGTGCAACCAGCATTGGGTCCCAGCTATCATACTTTTGCCCTTAAACTCAAAAACTTTGTTTTTGCTGGACATTTTGCTATAGCTTTTCAACGAATATCGCAGCATCTCAACCAATTAAACGGTTTATGACAACCACAAAAACCAAATTTCTGGATTATATCAACTACTTTTGAAGTAAGTACTCCACAATTAGACAGGAAACAACACTTTCAAACCAGGAACAGATTTTTTTTTTTTAAATTGTTATATAGTGTTATGGGTTCTGGTGTCCCAGAGAATATTTATGGACCGAATTAGTGGCAGTGTTTCACAAGTACTAATAAGGAAGCATCAGAGCTTTGGTGACACGCTTTGTAGATGTGCATTGTTTTGGAACACAGTAACTGAGTTATACTAGCAAACAGGAGGTTAAACCAACCAGTTACAAGGGATATGGACACATACATAAATTTTAATAATGAAATGTATGGGGACACAACATATGTCATGAAAACCTTTCGTTCACATAGGCTCAGGTTTTTCGTTATATTCATGTGACAAATCTACACACTGCAGCCAACACACTAATGTGGTGTGATACAGTTTGGAAAGCTGTGCTCTTCATGTATAGTATAGACTTGGAACAGAAGTTTGACATGGGAAACACACAAAGAGGCTAAGAAGACACAAATGTACTTGCTTTTATGTATGTTGACATTGCACAGGCATAATATTGTGAGAACAGAAAGTATTAGTTTTAACACATGTCATAACATTATTTTGAGAAAGTTGGGGAATATAAACAGTAAATGTACCAATTGTAAATACACGAAAGATATGTGACACAATTCTGGATATATACTAGGATGCTTGTGAAAACACCTTCTGAAGAATGACATTCTGTTGGTGCAATTTTGTGACAGTAGCCAAGGATTCTGGGTTGAAATGCTGGCAGGCCCAAACTTCATAATGTAACCTTACCAGTTTTAAGCAGGCAGTCTTATTATTTATTTTATTTTATTACTGCGCTTGTATACCGCTGTTTCTCAGCCTACATTGGCGACTCAACACGGTTTACAACACTACAAAAATCAACAATATACAAGATAAAAGCATAAAAACACATACATAATATACAATATTGGGCCACCAATATCGAGCCAATGCATCTCTTAACTAAAAACGCCGTCCAATTTCATCGTCTGTAGTTACCAGTCCTTGATCATCAGATTCGTTGCACCGAGTTAACCGAATGCTTGTTCGAACATCCATGTCTTCAGTTTTTTCGAAACACCATCAGCGAGGGGGCTGATCTTACCTCTATGGGGAGGGCATTCCAAAGCCGAGGGGCCACCACAGAAAAGGCCCTGTCTCTCGTCCCCGCCAGCCGCACCTGTGAAGCAGGCGGGATAGAGAGCAGGGCCTCCTCAGACGATCTCAAATTCCTAGAAGGTTGATAGGGAGAGATACGTTCGTATAGATAAGCTGGGCCAGAACCGTTTAGGGCTTTAAAGGCCAAAGCCAGCACTTTGAATTGGGCCCGGTAGCAAATCGGCAGCCAATGGAGCTGGTACAGCAGAGGAGTTGTATGCTCCCTGCGCCCTGCTCCTGTTAGTAACATGGCTGCCGCCCGTTGGACTAATTGGAGCTTCCGAGCCGTCTTCAAAGGCAACCCCACGTAGAGAGCGTTGCAGTAGTCAAGACGGGATGTAACCAGAGCGTGGACTACCGTGGCCAAGTCAGACTTCCCAAGGTACGGTCGCAGTTGGCGCACAAGTTTTAATTGTGCGAACTCCCCCCTAGACCGCCGAACCTGGGGTTCCAGGCTCAGCAATGAGTCCAGGATCACCCAAACTGCGAACCTGCGTCTTCAGGGGGAGTGCGACCCCATCCGAACACAGGCTGTAACCCTATGCCTGTTCGGCCTTGCGACTAACCAGGAGTACCTTGTCTTGTCTGGATTCAATTTCAATTTGTTCGCCCCCATCCAGACCGTCACATTGGCCAAGCACCAGTTCAGGACCTCGACAGCCTCCTTAGTAGCGGGTGGAAAGGAGTGACAGAGTTTGCATTTGTTGCTGCTTGTAGTTTGACCTTTAGTTTGACATCACAGTCTGGTCCAACCAAAAAGTTCTAGTGTTTCTTTCTATTCCAACTTGTGACCCTCTTCTTTCACCTTTCCTCTGCAAGAAGAATTTTTCCCAAGAGTTAAATTATTATTTCTTGTCCTGCATTAAAAAACTCCCAATGTTTGAGTCATGTTTACAGCATATAGTAGTTACAGAATTGCTTTTCATTTGTATGGTGTTTGCCATGGTATTTTTTTAATCATTGCCATACATCAGTATAAATGTTTGAGCATAAATAATCACTTACATTCTAACAGGTGCCTGGAAAGAACACTTTTGCAATTCAGTATGGCTGTGGATGACTATGAGGAACTTCTCAAATATTATGAACTACATGAAACAATTGGAACAGGTATGCTTCTTGGCACTTCCAAGGAAAAGTGGCTAACTATCTAGATCTAAAGCCAGTGTGGGGAACCAAATGAATCTAAATATCTTCCAGAACATATTTTGTGGTGCAAAAAGGGCTCAATTTAAAAATCTACTGCTGTTGCCAGTATTTCAACAGGTGTAGTCTATTGTATGTGTGCATTAAAATTTACAGTTGTGTATAACTTAAGAGCTAGTAAAAGTTAGCTTACCCTACATTTTGTCCAGAATCGTCCTAAATAATAATTCACAATGAAAATGAAATATATATAGTATAGATTATTAAAGGAAAATTAATACAGCTTTAAATTCTGCAATAAATTAGAACTGAAGTGTATTTACTTATGTGTCAGTCACAGTCTAGTAAAAGGGATGGTTTACTTGTAATACAAAATACTGTTTTGTCTGTATTTGGTCTATAACCGTATCAGTGGACATGACAAATTAATACAAACAATACAAGGAGATGAGTTGGCGAGACCAACAAGTAATAAATACATGTTGATCCAGATATATTCATATGTGGGTTTTAAGGCAAGTATTGAAAGATTCACGGGAGAGCTGTATTTTGATGTGAGATTTCAAGAAATGAGGCATAGGTATCTCACAGCTATATAAGACTTAGTTACAAGCATATTAAAAGGAACTCAAATTTGTTACTTAAAAATGTAGAATCTCCAGGGGAACAAGTCATGTGGAAACCAGATAACAAATTTGACATGTATCTTGTCAGTTGCTCAGATAAGCAATGGTGCTTTAGCAGAAAGCAGGTTGAAAGGCAGCTGCAAGACATCCTGTCTTGTGCCAGCAGTATCCTCCCCTGCACCCTATAAGTAGCTTCCCTCATGCTGATTTCTAAGGTGGAGTTGAAGACAAATATTTCTTCATGATCTTTCTTATCTGTAGGTGGTTTTGCAAAGGTAAAATTGGCCCGTCACTTACTTACTGGTGAACACGTTGCAATAAAAATAATGGACAAGCAGACTCTGGGGGTAAGTGAGTTTCCAATTGATGAGAGACTAATTCTCTCTGAATGAGCAATGTTTCTAACTGTACAGTGTGCTAATAATGTGAAACTGTTGGAAGTTCTTTGATCGTAAGGCAGTGGCTCCGTCTTAAAGAATTATATTCATTTCTGGAATCAATTTGCATTCTATTAATGCTAGGAGTTCTCTCGTCCTAAGAAAACTGGGTCTTTATGGATTATTTTAAAATTTCTGGAATCACTCTGTAGTCTAATGATGCTATCTGGACAATGTTCTTCAGTAACTTAGAATTTGAATTTACCTTCAGCTATTGGCTTTGAAATCCTGTCATAGATAGATGCCTACAAAATAATAGCTATGCATACAAAGATAAGGCTATAGGTAATCTCGTAATTTTGCTCAGCCTCTTTCCCTGTCTCTCTTTAGTGCACTTACCCATCGGCGTGTTTTGATATATGTATTTTGCTGTAAGTATTTTATGTTGGTGTTTTGACTGTTGTACTCCACCTAGAGCCATTAGAGGGGAAGGTAACTTATTAAGAACAGAGGTCATCTTGGTCAGTTGTGAGGCCAATTGGGGTATAGGGTGGCTTCCTGTGCTCAACGGGGTTACACTCCCCATGAAGACACAGGTCAACAGGGGGTCCTCTTGGACTCATTGCTAACGCTTGTGTCGGCTGTGGCCAAGATGGCCTTCGTACAGTTAAAGCTTGTGCGTCAGCTGGGACTGTACCTTGAAAAGTCTGACTTGGCCATGGTATTCCATGCCTTAGTTACATCTAGACTTTATTATTGCAATGCACTCTACATGGGGCTGCCTTTGAAGATGGCTCGGAAACTGCAACTGGTGCAGAGATTAGCAGCCAGGCTACTAACCGGAGCTAACTATAAGGGAGCACACGATGCCCCTACTAAAGCAGATCCATTGGCTGCCAATAAGTTTCTGATCCCAATTCAAAGTGCAGGTTATTACCTACAAAGCCCTAAATTGGTGTGGCTCCTGCCTATCTTCGTGACTGCACCCAACCCCCCAATACACCAGCACAGGCTCTAACATCTGCTTGGGAGGCTCACCTCTAGGTCCTACCACCATCACAAGCGCAATTGGTGGGCATGAGGGAGAGGGCATTCTTATTGGTGGCCCCCGGGCTTTGGAACGCCCTCCTTAGGGAGTTTAGGCAAGCCCCCACACTGTCCACCTTTTGTAAGGACTTGAAGACAGGATGTTCAAACCAGTTTTTGAGAACGCCTAGACCCTAGTTGTTCTGCGCAATTGTTATGCACTTTTGCAGTACACTCCATATCCTTGTCCCATGGCTGAACCTTTGCACCTATCCCATTTCCTTTACCTATTCTTTACAGCCTGTTCATGTTTATAGTTGCTTACTGCCAGATGAGTGCCGTTTTAATCGAGTTTTAAATTGTTGTTTTATATGTTTTGTTTTATTGTATTGCATTTTATATTGTGTTTTATTTTATGCTCTGTTTTTAGGCAGTTTTGTGCCATGTGTAAGTTGCCCTGAGTCCCTTCGGGGAGATGGTGGCGGGGTATAAGAATAAAGTTATTATTATAATATCATCACCACAACCCAGATCCCCCATTTTTCAGTTTTCCAGTCAGATGTAGCCCAAAAGCATAGCTGTGGCGAGAAAATGCCCCTCGTTGTGGGTGAGCCAGGAGATCTAACCCACTTATAACAGTAGTTATTTTTGTCAACTTGTCTTCCCTCCCGCTATTTTAGTAGCTCAAATATGTTGCTGGCTAGGTTTGCCCAATTAATCTGAACTAAGTGTAAAGATTGCTAGAATAGCATCTGATGTCATAAATAACTCTGTTTTTCCCCAAGCTAAGGGAAAAATAATTTACACCCTTCCTTGTCATTCTTTTTCTAAGAAGAAAGGGGTATGGATAGATAGGTGGGGATCTGTCAAAAGCTAGCAGATTTTCTCAAATAGACCATAGTCTTGCAATGTAATAGACGTGATACCAAAGGAAAAATAAATGGGAATGGAAAGTAAGAAACCTGCTTCTGAAGGAAAGTAATTTTTGGTTTGGCCTTCGGTTTATTACAACATACAATTGCCTAGAAATACCCTTAATTTTTTATCTGTTAGGATGACTTGCCTCGTGTAAAAATAGAAATTGAAGCCATGAAGAGCTTAAGCCACCAGAACATCTGCCGCTTATACCATGTTATTGAGACACCAAAGAAGATATTTATGGCTCTAGAGGTAAGATGGAAAACCCTTCAGGTTTTAAGACTGGCTTTTTAACCCCTCTGCACAAGGCATCTGCCGCTATTCTGCCTTACATTCCTCCCTATGGACCCTGGTAGTTCACTGCAATAGGCAGTAATTACTTGAATGATAGGAATTCCTGCACAATTACCAAGTGAGATGTCCCATGACCATTGTTCTTTTCCCACTGTACACTGAAATCAACAGAGTGAAACTACCATAAACATAAACCAACTGATGTCCATTCAGTCCCTGCAACGTTTGATAATAACGTTGGGAAACTTAGTATTTTGCTCCTTGTTTCCCTTTTCTATTCTGCCTTACATTCCTTCTGCACCAGCTAAAATCTACCAATGAGAGTTTCACAGCCCTCTGTGTAAGATTTGGAGAGCATATTTGTGAGGAAGAGACAGGATTGCCTCTTCCGGGTTCCACAGATGTAGCTGTTTCTGTCACTTGAATAAAGGTGTTGGATTCAATCTGTCCTCCTGGGGAAAAGAACTGGAAACTTTGTTTACTGTATCTTTTTGGTTTGGCATCATTAGTAAATTCTACTTTGTTTGAGATAGATCAGGAGGAAAGCCAGTCTGCTGCCATAACAAAAGCAGTTGTGGCAGCATGGGACATATCTACCATTTTGTTCTAGGTTTGTGTGTTGTGCAAGACTAGAATACAGAATAATTTTTCTTTGTGCCTCAAGCTGTGGTTACCAAAGTAGTTTCTCCAAAGGGTACATTCTACCTACAAAGCCATTTTATATGGTTTTGTAAGTCATCCAAATGTTAAGGTGTACAGTTTTAAAACCAATCTGCTCAATTCTATTTGTGCAGGCAACATATGAAAACACATGTGTATTTGATATAAATGTGTTGCTGTGATACACACTGTAGAAATAGAAGAGGTCAATGCCAATCTGTTACTATATATAGTATATATATTTCATGTCAGGAGCAACTTGAGAAACTGCAAGTTTCTTCTGGTGTGAGAGAATTGGCTGTCTGGAGCTAACAGAGGGAGCTTAACTCACTATCCCTGGATTTGAACAGCTGACAGCAGTCCTCCTGGCACAAGGGTTTAATAATAATAATAATAAACTTTATAACCCACCACCATCCCCCCGAAGAGGACTTGGGGCGGCTAATATGAGGCTGAGCCCAAAAATAATACAGCATAATTAGATACAAAACAACAGAAAAATTACATCATGACAAAATACATAAAATAACAAAATAAAATAAACAGTGCATAATAACTGCATAATAACAGTGCATAATATAGCCCGAAAAACCAACAACAACCCAGTACATATTCTATATAAATAAAAATGTAATGTTTGTTTGTGGGATTAACATAACTCAAAAACCACTGGACGAATTGACACCAAATTTGGACACAAGACACCGATCAGGCCAACAAGTGACCATCACTCATAAAAACACTGAAAAACACAACAGAAGAGACTTAAAAAGCCAAAAAAATACATTACAACGCATGCGCAAAATCACACATACACACAAATATAGACACACATATATACACAGATTGGGCCACAGCAGGGGACAGCTAATAACAATAATTTTTAACCCATTGCACAACCAGGGGCTCCTGCTAGAAATACATGTGTTGCACCCTTGCAGACACTACTTTGATGGCATAATTGTACTGTGCATCCATGAAGTCTCCCAAGGCTCAGTCATGGTAAATTGATGAGCTTCACCTGAGGGGATTGAATCGATCTAAGATCCTGGCTGGCCACATCTGGCTCAGGGTTCTTAGCTGAAGCCTAAAAGTATTGTGAACGCCATCAGTTCAGACTGATTGGGGGAGAGAATGAGATGACCTTCTAAGGAGAGAAGAGGGAACTTTCTAGGAGCATGGAAGTTGGCCAGCCTTTGTGTCTCTTAAAAGGTAAAGCAACATTCTCTTTTCTAAAACAAAAGAATTGTCTTTTAGATGTCACAGATTCTCGGCTGTTTCCATCTTTCCAAATCAGTTCCTACCTCACAGACACTTTTGTATTTTTCCCCTGCAGTACTGTCCTGGAGGAGAGCTATTTGACTATATAATTGCAAAGGATCGCTTAGTGGAAGAGGAAGCACGTGTCTTTTTTCGCCAAATTGTATCTGCAATCGCATATGTACACAGTCAGGGATATGCTCATAGGGATCTCAAACCGGTAAGAGTCCTCTGCCTCTATCATGGGAATATCTGTTTCCCCTCATTCTGTTTTAAGCATGTTGGCTATTGCACTGAGCTTTGCTTTTCCTGTTCAAAAATAGTTTCATTTACAACATGCAGTTAAGGTTGTATTGAATCCTTGTGAATGCACTTTTAGTAATATGCTGTCTCTGTCTTTTCAGGAGAACTTGTTGATTGATGCTGAGCACAACCTGAAGCTGATAGATTTTGGTCTCTGTGCAAAACCAAGAGTGAGTATGTCCTCAGTTCCATTAGAGTTCATTGTTTTTTGCTCACTGTGCCAACTGCTACTGAAGACATTAAATAATACTTCCCCAGCCCTGGAGGGTTTCCTGCTGTTTTATTTGCAAAGCAAACTGTGCCTCTACTTGCCTCTGGGTTTTGCCTTGTCTGATGAATCTTTTCAGGCTGAAGCTGGGGAGGCACTGGCACAGCACTTATATCTTACACAGAAGGTGCCAGTTTCAGCCCCTAGTATCTCCAACGAGCGATCTTGCTTAGAGAGTTGCACCAAGTCAATCGACAGTACTAGGCTAGAAGTTGAACCTAAAGCTTTGGGATGACATATTCATCAAATTAATGAAAATTAAACCTGCAAATATGGAGAGCTAATTGCTTTGTCAGGCTAAAGGTTAAATTCAATACATAATATTCAAGAGATACTTTTAGGATAAAGCAGACACGTGAACCCAGCTTATGGTAGCAAGCAGGACAACTAAAAATTTGAAAACCAAAGTATTAATGTGGATAAATCTTTCTTAGCTCATAACAGATATCATAACAGCTCGGGTACCTGAGCTAATGCTGCCTACTGAGTTCAGTGTATATATTTAGTTAAAATGGAAATGGTGTTCTTGAAGATAATAATAATAACAACTTAATTTTTGTACCCCGCCTCCATCTCTCTGAAGAGACCCGGGGCGGCTTACATATGACAAAAGGTGTCTAAAACAATGCATAAAATAAACAAACAGTACAATACAATAAATAAAAAATGTAATGTTTGTTTGTAGGATTAACATAACTCAAAAACCACTGCACGAATTGACGCCAAATACATGTATCAGGCCAATGAGTGACCATAACTCATAAAAACATAGCGGAAGAGACTTTAAAAGCCAAAAAATAAAAAATACATTACAATGCATGCACAAAACCACATATACACAACTATTCACACACACACACATACATACACACACACACACACACACAAAACACATGTACACAGACAGGGCCACAGCAACGCGTGACAGGAGACGGCTAGTAGGATATAAAACAACAGCTTAAAAATCAGAACAATGCCCCAATAACCTGTGGTGACAACTGTTATAAAACATGGCCAAACTGTAAACAAAACTAGAGAATGGGATAGTGCAATTTGTAGCTAAGGAACAAGGGCATGGGGATGATCCTGCTTACCATGTTTCTTCACATTCTAGGGTGGTCTGGATTACCATCTTAGCACATGTTGCGGAAGTCCAGCATATGCAGCTCCAGAGTTAATTCAAGGCAAAGCTTACATTGGCTCAGAGGTATTGCAGTATGTTCTTGAACCCTTCAGGTTTTTTTATTTCTGTATTATCTCTGTACTTCTTTATCTCTCTACATTTACGAACAAGCGTTTGGCTAAATAGTGTAATGGAATACAGGAAGATGGTACAACCGAACATAGGAATTGGTACAAAGGATTATGATTACGGATTCTGATTTGTTGCTGAGGCGCTACGATTATGATAATGATTGTTTTTTGACCTTGTATGTCTTGTATAATGTGTTTTAATTGCCTGGATATTGTTGTGATAACTGGTATTATGTAAACCGCTTTGAGTCGCCATTTCGGCTGAGAAAAGTGATATAGAAAAGCAAATAAATAAATAAATAAATACATTGCTTTCACAAAAAATCCCCTATGCACATTTGCAGTCCAAGATTTATGAGGTGTAGAATAATTCTAATGTGGCATATGCCACAGTGAATTTTGTGGATGTGTCTTGCTCCAATGTTTCCAAGCATCTTGGAGATGCAGTGATGACAAGTCATAGCTTTATTCCTTCATGAACATCTTCAGAGCTGTGATGGATAAATTGAGGGGTTGTTTTTCCAGTGCCAAGTTTCTGCTCCACAACCTCAGGAAGGGTTGCATCCCTTTTGTTCCAAAATTGGGAGAAAGATGAGCTCACACCACTCACCTGAAGAGGGGATTGCACATTTATTGTGATGAATAAAACTCTGCTTGAGGGACACTTAACTGAATCTCATAAGAGGATAGGCACTACTTGTTATGTTATTCATTGCTTAATTTTTTTTTTAAAAAAATGCTAAAATGTATAATACAGTGTTTTATATTGAGCTGCTCTCCATGGTTTTTATTTGTTGATCTTGTTATTTTTCCAGGCAGATATCTGGAGTATGGGTGTTCTTTTGTATGCTCTCCTTTGTGGATTTCTACCATTTGATGATGATAACGTTATGATACTCTACAGGAAAATAGTGGTATGTATGTATCATGGCCTGTCTCCGAAGGTTTATTTCTAGGATTCAGTTGCATCTTGAAGCAAAGATGCTTGAGGAGCCACTATGGAAAATATCTGTTCCCAGAAATTGAGCTATAGAAGAACTACTTATAGCCCTTGAGCAGGAGTGAGAGTTGTGCACCCCTCTAAATTTGTTGGTTGGCAACTCTCATCAGCTCTAGTTAGTATAGTCAATGCTCAAGGATGATGGGAGTTGCAGTCAAACTATCTTTGGAAGGCTGATGTAACAAAGGGCCCTTCTACACAGCCCTATATCCCAGAATATCAAGGCAGAAAATCCCACAATATCTGCTTTGATCTGGGTTATCTGAGTCCACACTCAGATAATGTGGGATTTTCTGCCCTGATATTTTGAGATATATGGCTGTGTGGGAGGGCCTGGAACGAGCAGCCATACTGTACGGATACTTTTAGTTTTAAGGGCTTTCTTTGAATTAATTTACAATCTCAGTGCTTGTTTCCTTTCCACTATCTGCCTCAATCATCTCTGTTAGGCAGTAGCCAAGCAGTGCCACTGTATTTGCAAGAAGGTGTAAAAATCTCTCACTATATGTTGGACAACCTTGAGGGAAATCCATTAAATGTGTTCATGCACGACAACAGGCCAGCATAGCAGTTACAGCATGCTCAGGTACTTGTGCCGTTGCAAGCACCCACATAATTTAATCTGCCCAGGACAATTTCCTCTCCTGAACCCTGGCCAGGTGTGTAATTCCTGTTTTTCTGCTAGCTGTGTTGTTCTTGGGGTGATGTTTTCATTTTCTGGCCACATCATGGAGTGAAATGAAGGATACAGGCCTCCCGTAGAGTGGAAAACTTGGTTATTGTCTAGAGGCTGTGTTTTTCGCCTGTCTGCTTTTCTTCTAACCCCAGTCCTGTTGCTTGCCTGAGTAAGAATCTAGGAAAACAAGCATCCTAGTAATGAAGCCAAACTCTTTATCCGCATCTCGATTTGATGGCTTATTAAATTTCAATTATCGCACTCTTTTGAAGGAGGGAGAATGGCAGAGTCTTAAGTAGGCTTTGCTTAGAGACTTAAAAGCATTTGTTTTTTTAGTTTTTAAATATAGCAATTCAGCTGACCCTGTTTCAATTCTGTTGTTTGCATTTAAAAAAAATATTGTTGGAGGAGTTTCATTGTTTTTGGAGCTGTTAAACAGAATTTCTGTTTGTATAAAAATATTTCAGTGTGGTTTTACTGAAAGATGTGTCCATGTGTGCCAATTGGAAGTGATTTAAATGAGGTCTAGATAGACCCATTAGGCCACTCCAGGGCTGCGTAAGGCATATGGGCCACTTGATTCCTACCTGTGGCCTGAATCTGACTTTATACTGACATAAGCACAGTAGAACTTTAATTCTCTTCTCTCCATCCTACTCTCAAATGAAAACAGTTTTTCATCGCATAGAAATCCAACCACATAATAATTGCACCCCCCTTTTGGGGAAGGCAAAAGAAGACTTTTGCCTTTCACCACATAATAGTTGCACTTTTAGTTCAACTTAAGAACACTTTTAGTTGCCTGGACAAGTGAACTAAGGGTGTGGCTGCCCTTTTGGGACCAAAAAGGAAAGAGGGCAGGTGGTGGTGGGGGAGTGAATTGGCTTCCTCTTTCCCTTTTGCCAAGGGGTAGCTGCATGGGCACATAAATCATCACCCACACGCGAGGCTTTCCCCTTTAAACGCCCATGTGGCTGCGCCCTCTCACTGACCTAGAGTAAAGGAAGGGACATAATAGTTGACATGGCATAATAGTTGCACCTCCTTTCCCCCCAAAAATGGGAGCTGAGGGAGGGAACACGGCCATTATGTGATGAAATACAGTCATCCTAGTTCTGCTGAGTGGATGTGTTCTCCTGCATCCTGACCATCTTCTTGAAGGAAACTGAGTTGAGGAATACCATTAATAGCATGGCAGCAGTTAAAATTGACAAAGAAGAGTTAGTAAAATTAGGAGCAATGATTGGTATAGAGCAATGGTTCTCAATCTGTGGGTCCCCAGATGTTTTGGCCTTCAACTCCCAGAACCTAACATCTGGTAAACTGGCTGGGATTTCTGGGAGTTGTAGGCCAAAACACGTGTAGACCCACAGGCTGAGAACCACTGGCATAGAGGGTTTCACAGGCCCCAGTCAAAGCCATTATCTGAAAAGCTGAATGATAAATGGAATTATATTGTCCATGGACAAGCAGCTCCAAATTAAGAGAATCATACCTTGCCTGTGAGAGTAAGACAGTATGATTGCTGAATGCCCATGCCACACACAGAAGGAGTTACTGTCATTTGGGCTTATATTGATGCAAAATTCAGAGTTCTCTGACACAAATTTAAGCATTTAATACTGGAATAGTGTGATTATGATAACATTTGTCCCAGCTTCATGAAATTTTTGTTATCTGTACTGAGAATTAATTTGAATTTTAGGAAGCTTAGTAAAATAACATAACATCAGTTTCATGATTTTCCCCTTGACATAGAGTTAGGTCTGTGTCCATTTATGTGCCTCCAGTTTTTCTTTCTGTTGGTCTAGATTTTATCAAAACTCTAGGGAAATAAACAGTTGTTAAATTTTGTCAGTGGAAGATAATCATGAAATCTTCAACAGAAATGTGAAATAAGTTGATACAAAAGCAGAAGCTGATAAGGTTCGGCAAAGACGTATTATCAGTCCAATAGCTTCAGGTGGCTACAATGGATGATCAAGGCTGTAGTCCAACACATTTGGAGAGCAGGTGTTTCCTCTTCTTTCACTGTCCTAGCTACATCTATTCAATTAATCTACCCCTACGAAGGAAAATGCACTCCTGGCTTTCTCACCAGTCCTTGTTTCCATAACAAGCCACATGTTTCAAAATCCAATTGTCACGGGGACAGAAAGTAAGGTGAACTCTTCTGAAGAAGGGCAGAGAGAACAAAACGAACATTACCGGAGTGTTAACTCTACCCTATGCTATCCAAAGCTTATATAATATAGGGCTAGAGTTATTATTTAAAATGTACCTGTTCCGACTTACATACAAATTCAACTTAAGAACAAACTTGTCCATAATTTGGGGATTGCCTGTATATTGGCCTTTAATTTGAATCTCTTAACATTTAATGATATAGTTACTACTGTTAGAATAAGAAAGAAATCTTTTTATGGTAAGAAAACTGTGTGGGCCTTAGTGACAGAAAGTCTTGTCTTTCAAATTATGTTAGTGATTCTCAACCTGTGGGTTCCCAGGTGTTTTGGCCCACAACTGCCAGAAATCTCAGCCAGTTTACCAGCTGTTGGGATTTCTGGGAGTCAAAGATCAAAACATCTGGGGGCCCACAGGTTGAGAACCACTGAATTAAGCGGTAATGAAAAATTAATGTTAGTGTCATCTCTATAAAAGCTATGATATAATAAAAACAAAACTAGAGATAGGCAAAATGCGGCCCTCCAGGCCTGCTGTTGGAGAAAAGCTAAGAATTATGTGTTACTAAAGTCCTAGCACCATAAGATACCTCAGGTGTCTGTAACCCTTGCAGTTCTCTTGACTGAAGGCAGCTCCTTTTATGGGACTCAGTAGCCACCTACATTGGGTCGTTGTAGGTTTTTTCGGGGTATGTGGCCATGTTCTAGAAGCATTCTCTCCTGACGTTTCACCTGCATCTATGGCAAGCATCCTCAGAGGTAGTGCTTGTCATAGATGCAGGCGAAACGTCAGGAGAGAATGCCTCTAGAACATGGCCATATAGCCCGAAAAAAACCTACAACAACCCAGTGATTCCGGCCATGAAAGCTTTCGACAAGCCATCTACATTGTTTTCCCACCTATGCTTCAGTAGATGTTGACAATGATAAAATCACTTCTTGCTCTTCTATCACAGATGTCTTATATTTGGCTCTATTAGGCATCACAGAAATAAAGCAGGCCATGAAAATGGGCCTTCCCCCTATATTACCTTTCAGCACTGGGCACGCAGAATAAAATGTCTTCAGCTCATCCAGCACAATGAAGTGGTATTTGCAATGATTGAGTGCTATGATGCAAACGGTGGAAAGCTTCAATCATGTGGCATGTTGGATATTACACTGGCTATTAACACTGAATTTCATTCACGCTCTTTGATTCCTCTCTCCTAAAGATGAGAGGTTTTATGGTTTAATTCTTGTCTGCTTTGGACTTAAATCTTCCACTGCATTGATGTTCACTCTGGTCTATTTAATGTTTCTATTCCAGCTTGCCCATCACTGGTCAAGCTCTGTTGCTATTAAGCTTCAAGACTGACCCTTGAAAGTAACCGATACTGTTTCAATTGTCTTCAAAATGGCTGTGAAAAATTGCTGTGCTATTTTAACAATGACTGTTGTAAGTTTCATCAATTCGATTATAGTGAATGACGCACTTGCTTTCTCTACAGAGAGGGAAATATGAGATCCCAAAATGGCTTTCGCCTGGCAGTGTGTTGCTTCTTCACCAGATGCTACAGGTAAACAATCACACTGACTGTCCTGTCATAGTTACAGAAATGCCAGAAGTTAGTGGCATGATTTTTGGCTCCATCTACACTGATCCTTTAACACAGTTTCAAACTGGTAGTGAAGAAAGTGGTTTCACTGTGCAGAATCTGTTAGAGGCCTGGATGGTGATTATACGAACCACAAAGCACTAATATACACTCAAGGCTTTCTTTTGTGGGATTTTGTGTTGCCACTACAGTTTCAAGCTGCTTGAAGTGGTTAGTGTCGATTGAGACCTTGTCCTTTTTCCCGCAGAGGAATCTCATTCTTGAACAGTGATTTACAAATGCTTTATTTAAGCATTTACAAATGCTTTATTTAAAATAAATAGAATCCCTAAAATTGGTGATAGTTTGTTTTCATCATCCTGAACAGTGAAAGATTGCACGACAACAATTTATTTGGTATCTGCCTTGATCTTGATGTAAAAGCGTGAGGAAAAAAAATCTAGAAACTTCTTTTTAGGCCTTTAACCTCATAGTTTTTTTTTTTTTTAAATTGAATGCTACATTATATTCCATGTTTGGGTTGCTTTGAGTTTTCTGAGCCGAATGGCCATGTTCCAGAAATGTTCTCTCCTAATGTTTTGCCCACATCTATGGCAGGCTTGTGAGGTTGTGAGGTCTGCTGGAAACTAGGCAAGTGAGGTATATATATCTGTGGAATGTCCAGGAGAAAGTACTCTTAGGTTCTTGTAGGTTTTTTCGGGCTATAGGGCCATGTTCTAGAGGCATTTCTCCTGACGTTTCGCCTGCATCTATGGCAAGCATCCTCAGCAACCCTCACTACCTCTGAGGATGCTTGCCATAGATGCAGGCGAAACGTCAGGAGAAATGCCCCTAGAACATGGCCCTATAGCCCGAAAAAACCTACAAGAACCTATTGATTCCAGCCATGAAAGCCTTCGACAATAGAAAGTAATCTTGTCTACCTGAGGCACGTGTGAATGTTGCAATTGGCCAGCTTGATTAGCATTTAATGGCCTTGCAGATTCAAAGCCGCAAACAGAAAGGAGGAAACCATGAAAATGAGCAAACTCCTGACTACCAGTAGTAAAAACTCTAAAATTAGGACAGTAAATAAACAGCAACACCAAAAAAAAAACCCAGGGGAATTCCAGACAAAATCATTCAGGGCCAACTAGTACCTCCCAACAAAGGCTCCCCCCAGGCAACAACCAGCCAAGCTTTGAAGCTGCAAGGCCATTAAATGCTAATCAAGATGGCCAATTGCAACATTTACATGCAGACAAGTGTCCTTTCTCCCACCCTCGAGATTACATAGATATATAAACCCCACTTGCCTAGTTTCCAACAGACCTCACAAGCCTGCCATAGAAGTGGGCAATTATATGTTAATCAAGATGGCCAATTGCAACATTCATACTCTTGTCAAGCAGACAAGAGTACTTTCTCCTAGACATTCCCCAGATGTATAAACCTCACTTGCCTAGTTTCCAACAGACCTCACTACCTCTGAGGATACCTGTCATAGATGTGGGCGAAACGTCAGGAGGGAATGCTTCTGGAACACGGCCATATAGCCTGGAAAACTCACAGCAACCCAGTGATTCCGGTTGTGAAAGCCTTAGGCAACATATTGCATGTTTATTTAAAATGATTTGTCATAGCTATACTTTGAAATGCATTTATCCTCTTATCCACTAGGTGGACCCAAAGAAACGGATAATGGTTAAGCATCTCTTAAGTCATCCCTGGCTCATGCACGGCGACTCCTTTGCCGTCCAGTGGCAAAGTAAATATCCTGTGAGTAAAATAATTACTGTGAATAAGAATATACAGCTAATCTGAACCCAGTCTGAGCTGGTACGATAGCAAGCTTCAAGGTGTGTCTTGGAGGAGCATGCCACTAAATAATGGCCTTTTGCTAGATGCTTAACATTCAGAGCTCAGTGGAAAATACTGTGGGTTTCTTCCCTGACAAATGTGCTTTCTGACAGTATGACAACCATTGTGTGCCTCTCATGGATGTCTGCCAGAGGGCAACTTGTATCACTGTACTGGCATACGACTGTCCAGCTATAACAGGCATGGGCAAACTTTGGCCCTCCAGATGTTTTGGACTCCCAACTTCCACAATTCCTAACAGAATTGTGGGAGTTGGAGTCCAAAGCACCTGGAGGGCCAAAGTTTGCTTATGCCTGAACTGTAAGAACTATAAAGAATGTATGGGATGTGTTTGAACATTCAGAAGACACTATGTAAATGAAAACCATCTGATGAACCCAGATTTTCATCTAAGACTTCAAAAAAAAAAAAAAAGGATTTGATGGTTAGCTTGTATAGTTAAAACAAAAATTGATTTGCAAAATAACTCACTTACCATTAGTTTCCTTGTTTATTTTTGATCTTTCAACCCAGAGCAATTTTTTTTAAAAAAAGCTTTCTATTGGGTACATGTGCAAATAGGATATATATGACATTGATATTATGTAAGATTGTTTCTTTATGTAGCCTAGCTTTTTCTTCGCTCTGACTGGCAGAATCTATTTAGGCTTTTAGACCAGTTGAATCTTCAATGTATGTTAAGGTTAAGAAAAGTTAATCTTAGAGGGACTACCACTGCCGTAATCCCCCACTTGGCATGCCCAGCAATTTATAGTTAAAAAAACAAGCTCTATTTCTTTACCAGTAATCCCATATGTCCTTTAGACTTGTTTAGAAACACTTCTGTGCAAGATTTATTTAAAATTTCACCATTTGATCAGATGTTTCCAAAACTCTGACCTTGATAAAACATGCCTTGCATCTATAGTAGGATTATTATTATTATTATTATTAATAATAATAATAATAATAATAAATAACAATAATAATACTTCATTTATACCCCACCACCATCCCCCCGAAGGGACTCAGGGTGGCTAACATGAGGCCAAGCTCAAATAATCACAATAAGGCAACATACATACAAACAGACAATAACATCAAATAAAATTGTTAACAATAACAAAATAATGCAATAAAAATAATGGCAATAATATAATGAGCAGTAGATCGGTTTGAAAAAAATCTTTTATACATATTTTTGTGCTTCTGTGAAAGAGATGAGCCAGATGAAATTATTCCGGCCTCCCGTCGTCCATTGAGTGTCACTGTTCCTCCACTCTAACACTATTGCTTTATTGCTGCTTGGCTATGTGTATTTAAGCTGTTCTTGTTTGCATCTTTTCTGAACCCTCAAAGGAAGAGTGTGCTATAGCAATAGGAGATACAGTAGATCATACAAAATTATAGCTCTAATGAAGAAATTAATGCTAATAACATATTTGGAAAGCGGAAGGACATACTAGCTCCCAAAATTTGAACTGAGGCTGAGTGATCTAGGATATGAAGGTAAAGCCAGAGCTGTAGAAGTCATGGCTTGAAGAAGAATCAAGGGCCTAAATCAGTGGTTCCCAACCTTTTTTGACCAGGACCACTCTCCAGTATTAGTACTGAAAGGGTTACGAATCAGTTTTTGGTCAACTTTAGATTTTGTTTAGTTATTTTAGGTGCTGATTCAGAAAATTGCATTGGATATACCACATCAGCTCTAGTTTCTGATACAAAACATGCCATCCAGTAGTTGCCATCTGCTCACCCATAGAAAACCATATTTAATAAGCTTTAGCACTATAAGAGGCTTTTGTGAGACCAATCACTCTTGTTGCAACGGTGTAATAATGGTGAGGCTGTGGACCATATTTTAGTTCATGGGGACCCCTGGTCGTCCACGGACCACAGGTTTGGAACCACTGACTTTAATAAAGTGGGAATTGCATCTGGGAATATGTAAGAAGATGTATTATTTGTAGAGGCTTTTAAATGTCTCATATTCATCCTGTACAAATTCATTAGGAAGTAAACTGCACTGAACCCACTGAGGTTTATGTTGTAGAAGACACATCAAGGATTAGGTTGTTAATGTGGAATAGCTAGGGGATTGCTCCCAGTTTCCAAATATTTTGCCTGATACCAGATGAACTATGTCTGACATTTTTCAGGGGGTTCACCCTCATCTTTCTGTACTTGCCAATCTCATCCCTCACCCAGTTGTGCAGAAGACTAACTTTAATAGATCCAGTGTGTGTTGTGAAGCCTAATGCAGTCCTGTTTATGATTGCCTGTGTATATGTTAGAATTCAGAAGATGAATTTACATATCTATACATTTTTCTTCAGTACAGAGAATTTGTCAATAAGTATGTGTGTGTGTGTGTGTGTGTGTGTGTATATGACAATATAGTTAAGTGCAAAATGTTCTCACGATTACATATGCTTAGTAATCAGATGCAGAAATATGCAAAATACCCAGTAGTAAAAATATGATAGTTATTACTTTTTAAAAAGACTGCAAATATCAGCATTTGACATCAGTATTTAATTTTTTTTAAAGCTTGGCCATCTTGACGAAGATTGCATAACCGAACTGTCTGTCTTTCACAAATGTAGCAGAGAAAGCATGGCAGATGTCATTTCAGAGGTAATATTTGACTTTAATAATAATTGTTGAATGAACCAAGTGGGCCAAAATGTATTTGTTCATAGGGGTAAAACTAAATCTTGTACAGTGGTTCTCAAAGCTAACGTCTCTAATTCAGTATTAATTTAAATCCTTAAATATAGGTGTTACACATTCTAATTATAAATTGTTCTGTCACTACGTTTGAAGCTGTCTAATATGCTGATTAAGAGCTATAAAGATACTAATTTCACTTTGTTTTGCATCAAAGGTTTACAACTCTTCCAAGAAATCCTGGGTTTGTTTTCAAGCTCGCTTAGGGCCCTTCCACACAACCATATAACCCAGAATATCAAGGCAGAAAAATCCCACAATATCTGCTTTGAAATGAGTCCACACTGCCATATATTCCAGTTCAAAACAGATAATGTGGGATTTTATTCAGCTGTGTCGAAGGGGCCTTAGGTCTCTTCCTTGGATCCTTGCCCTATTCTAGCAGATTTCCTCAGCAGCATACAGTTGGAAGAATATTGGGTGTATTCTAGGTGGCCTTCTCAACTTCTATAGGCAATGTTGAGACTATTAGGCAGAAGGTAGTTCTGGATCTAGCAATTGATCTGAATTACAATTTATCTGGCTAATATTCTAGTTGTGTCTGACTCGGGGGGGGGGGGGTAGTACACATCTCCATTTCTAAGCCGAAGAGTCGGCGTTGTCCATAGACACCTCCAAGGTCATGTGGTCAGCATGACTGCAAGGAGCGCTGTTACCTTCCTGCAGAAGTGATACCAATTGATCTACTCATACTTGGATGTTTTCGAATGGCTAGGTTGGCAGGAGCTGAGGCTAACAGCGAGAGCTCACTCCTCTTCTCAGATTCAAACTGCTGACCTTTCAGTCAGCAAGTTCAACAACTCAGGGGGTTAACCCGCTATGCCACCAGGGTCCCCTATAGGCCTGTAAGGGTCCATTATAAACCATTAGGGATTGATTTATCTGTCTCTGTGATTTAATGTAATTTACTGAGGGCCTCATCACACTAGAGAAAAAATCCTCCTGCAGAATTCTAGGATTTGTAGTTTAGGGAGGAGTCTTTAACAGCTTCACTAAACTACAAACCCCAGAATTCTGCAGGAGGCAGAAACCGGATTTTAAGTGGATTTTTTTCTGTAGTGTGATGAAGTAGTCAGTCTAACAGATAGAGGAACAGAACAGATCCAATTGATAGAGGAAAAAAAAAATCTGAATTAGTTTCTGCTTCTGGTTCTTAGTTCTTGTCTACGTGACCTAGATTCTCCTCTGCCCCTTTTTACCTTCCCCACATACTTTCCGAACACTGTTCATGGAAGAGTAATATTTCTCAAAAATTAAAAGGTAGAAAGCATATTTTGTTATGATATATTTTGTTATTGTGTGTTTACTATGTTGTATTATTTTGGGCTTGGCCGCCCCGAGTCCCCTTAGGGGTGATGGTGGCAGGTTATAAATAATAATAATTATTATTATTATTGTTATTGTTATTGTTATTATTATTACTGTTAGATCTCTTTATAAGGGATCAATTTGAAACAGTATATGCAGCTACTTAAATATTTTGTAGTGAAAAGAAGGGCCTTTCCAGATGTTGAGAAGAAATAACATTGAAAAAGCCTGCCTTATTGTCAGATACATTTCCCACTGGAGAATTCACATGTGGTTGAAATATAGTAGGGATTCCAAAAAAAACATACTTCTTAGGTCTGCTACTGGCTGGAACTGTTCTGTATGTGAGACAGGCAGACACGTAATTTACTTGTACTTTTTAATAATGAAGTCAACAACAGATGCATTTCTGCTAGCCAGTAACAGCATATAACTGAAGATGTGGATGAGTATTTCTCTACAATGGAGTATATCCAGCAATCCATTCACATTCACTGGAGTTGGGGGCATAGTGAAAGTGAAAGAATGCAATTTTAAAAATTGTATTTTTTTTTATCTGAGAGAATATTTCTTTAGGAATGTTTAGTTTCTCCGGCACCACGCTGGTCACCTTCTGTAAAGAGAACATTTCAATCAAATTCACAAAAGTCAAACCTTTAAAGGTGGAGGGCTGTGTGTGTATATATTTCTGCATGTGTAAATTGATTTTGGCCTCCCTGGGTCACATCGGAAGAAGAAGAACTGTCTTGGGCCACAGATAAAATAACGATAACTGATGAGTCTGTGCATGATTTTGTTAATATATGCCACCACAATAAACAAAAAAAGTCCCCACAAAATAATCCTAATTATGCTCTGCCATGCCTGGAGGAGTTTTTTTGTTTGTTTGTTTGTTTTTAGTTTTCTGTTTTTTTGAACTTGTGTGGCAGGTCTGCTGAACTGATTGCAATTATAACACAAATTACAGATAAAACTCTGATATTTGTAAATGAAATATATTCTAATTACTCCATTTCATTCTGTTGTCATCTACAAAGTTTGGTCTCAATAACCATGCAATCAAGTTACAAAAAAACCCAAACAAACAAAAAAATTATACTGTTTTAAGTAAGTTTATGATTTTGTGTTGGGTCACATTCATAGCTGTCCTGAGTCACATTCCGCCCATGGGCTACAGACTGGACAAGCCTAGTTTACACTATGCCTTTCTTTAAACTTGTGGTTCATTGCTTTTTCTCTGAAGATGCAGAGTTATCTAACTTTTAAAAATATTTTGGTAGAATTGTCATGGTGGCAGCAATGGCTGTTGCAGTGGTCTGTGATGACGGTTAGAGGGCACATGGCAGTCCCATCAATTCATAGAATGTAAAGGGTACATGTCTAGGACACCCCTATAAGTCACCACAGCAATCCTCTATATATCTCTTGATAAGAATGGATGATGGGCTACACAGTTCTTAAGGAAATCTTGTTATCATTGCTGTACCCAATGTGGGCCCTCTTAAACTTCTGAGGAACTATATCGTTCCAGTGGGTTGTTGTGAATTTTCCGGGCTGTATGACCATGTTCTAGAGCAGTGGTTCTCAACCTGTGGGTCCCCAGGTGTTTTGGCCTACAACTCCCAGAAATCCCAGTCAGTTTAGCAGCTGTTAGGATTTCTGAGAGTTGTGAGGTCTGTTGAAAACTAGGCAAGTGAGATTTATATATCTGTGGAATGCCCAAGGTGGAAGAAAGAACTCTTGTCTGTTGGAGGCAAGTGTGAATGTTGCAATTGGCCACCTTAATTAACACTGAATGGCCTTGCAGTTCCAAAGCCGGTCTACTTCCTACCTGGAGGAATCCTTTGTTGGGAGGTGTTGGCTGGCCCTGTTTGTTTCTTGTCTGGAATTCCCCTGTTTTCTGAATGTAGTTTTTCTTTATGTGGGCAAAACGTCAGCCCAGAAAACCCACAGCAACCAAGTGATTCTGGCCGTGAAAGCCTTTGACAAGACGTTCTACAATTCCAGTTTGAAAACCACTGGCTAAGTAATTGCTCTTTTGCAGCTGTCCTGAACAATATGGCATGTGTGTGTCTGTGTGTCACGAGTGATACATAGAATTCACTACCTTTCACATCTCTTCAGAATATTTTGCAAATCTAAATTCTTTTACTGCCCAGGCTTCTTTTTCATGGCAATCAACTGCTTATTTCATGGTAAGAATCTGCATATTTCATGGCACATTGACTTGAAAAGTACAGACTGTTTTACAATTATAACATTAATACAGTAGAGGCTTGAGGCAGAAGGCAAATTTCACAGAAATCTCTCATCATAAAGAGGAAGACTAGGATGAATGTGGGTCTGACTCTAAATGGCTAAACTTACTCAACTAGACAAAATATTCACACCTTATTCTGAGGGGCCAAGGGCAGGAAAACATGAGAGTCACAGACATGTGTTCTTCTGTAACTTAGCAAAAACTCTTCACAGTAATAAGACAAATTTGGAGTTTGAACCAGACTGCAAAACTCTGAATGTTCTCCCTTCTTTCTTCTACAGGAAAATGATTATGTACCAAAATCTATCTAGTTGTTTATCCTGTTGCTAAATATCACATGGCTTTTATCACTTCCATGCTTGGGATATGGCACTGAAATATTCGATAAATCCCCACATCCATCACATTCAATGGAGTTAAGGGAGCAGGCACCTCCCCCCTCCATGACAGTGGAAAAAACACATTTTTATTTAAACTGAGAGCACCTTTCTAGGTATTTCTAGGTCCTCCAATGCAATTCTATTGTCAACTTTCAGCAGAAGTTGACCATGGAACCACACTGGAGGATGCAGAAGTTCCTAGCGACAATGTATTAGTCTAATCCATTAAATTTAAATCTGCAAATGGAGAAATTACTGTACTGTCTTGACAGTTTCCCCACCTTTCTCAATTTAAATGCATGGATTTTCAACATATGTGTCCTGGATTTGTTCTCAGAGGCAGACTTTGACTTTAAAGGCATGACTTTACTCATGGTCATGTTTCTCCTCTACAGTCCTTTTACTGGGGTATTGTGTGGTTTCTGGGCTGTATGGCCGTCTTCTAGCAGTGTTTGTTTGTTTGTTTGTTTGTTTGTTTGTTTGCCGTATTTCTATCCCACCATTCTCAGCCCAAAGGCAACTCAAGGTGGCTTGCAAATTGGCAACAATTTGCTGCCACAACAGTCATAATACAATTTTCCTGCCATTTCACCTGTATCTGAAAATGCCAGCCACAGATACAAGCAAAACCACACAACACCTTAGTTATTCTGGTCGTGAAAGCCTTCAACAACACAACCCCCTTTGCTGTTTTTGCAAGGAAAATAGCTGTATAGAATTCAGTGCCTGATATCAGATAAAAAAATTATAAGTAGCATAATGTATAATCTTAGTCTCTTCCGTTATGCGAAAATGAAATGTAGGGAATTTTAGCTTCTCTAGGATTGCTAGTAATTCTTAGACAAGTATCTTCTTCATCCCAAGGCATATGTACTTAAAAGATACCATCTGCTTTCTTTTATTAGTGGAAATATGATAATGTGTCTGCAACGTACCTTTTGCTTCAGTCCAAGAAGGCTCACGGTAAGCCTGTTCGTCTGAGGATTCCTTCTCTAACAGCAGACTGTGTTGGCATCACTCCATCAAGAGAGCGGAAGGTATGAATCTCTTTGTGGAGAGAAAGAGCAGGGTAATAATAATAATAATAATAATAATAATAATAATAATGTTATCTACCTTTAATCCTAGAAGCAGTGTGTCATTCTGAGGAGTTAACACATGCTTTGTCTTAAGTCGTAGTAAGCTGAAGCTAAACAGTCATGCCTTTTTGTTGTGTTTTGACTCATTGTGCATTCAGCATTCTGGTTCAGAAGCTATTATGTAATGAAATTATTCCTGTTAAAAGTGTAATATCTGGAGCCTGGCTGAAAGGTTCAGAAAGTTGTTTAGTGCCTGAATAAGAGATCAACATGGAAGGAACATCTCACAGGTGCCGACCTTTCCGCAGAAGGAGCATCGTACTTGAAAAAGCATAATGCATAAAACGAAAGGATTTCTTACAATTTCAGAGGCAAATCTTAGATGTTTTAAAGTTATCAAATATTTTCTCACGGAGAACCACAAGTTTGAATGCCTTCATTGCTAGAGATGATAAGCAAAATGGGGTCTGCATACTTTGTATGCCTACAGTGCAGTAAGGGTCTTTGGACCATAATAAATGTTATTGTTGGGTCTCAACCCAAAATTAATGGGAGTAGTATTGCATGGGCTTGTTAACTAAACTATAGGTTATCAGTACCAGTCTTGGCCACTTGGCTTAGCATAATGCCCTGCTTTTTAAAATATTTTGAAGTAACAACAAACCATATCTGAAAGTGATTTGTTCAATGAGATTTTTGAAAACATTCTTCTGAACAGGTCAAGAAAACCCTAAGTTATGATGATGACCCAGACTGTAAAGAAACACCTTATGTGTTTGGATCCATGGAGTTTTTAGCCTCTACTGAAGACCTTCCAGTAATGTTATGTAATACTCCCACAACCAAACAGGTATATATATCACAATTACTTTTTTTCAAATGAAAGATAGTGTACCAATAATTGATGTAAACTATTCTCAGACCTGGGGCTGTATCCTATTGGGACGGAATATTAATCTAAAGGGTAAAGGTTTTCCCCTGACATTAAGTCCAGTCGTGGCTGACTCTGGGGTTTGGTGCTCATCTCCATTTCTAAGTCAAAGAGCCGGCATTGTCTGTAGACACCTCCAAGGTCATGTGGCCAGCATGACTGCATGGAGCCCTGTTACCTTCCCACCAGAGGGGTACCTATTGATCTATTCACATTTGCATGTGAACTGCTAGGTTGACAGAAGCTGGGGCTGACAGCGGAAGCTCATGCCGCTCCCCGGATTCGAACCTGCGACCTTTCGGTCAGCAATATTAGCAGCTCAGTGGTTTAACTGATATTAATCTACTGGTCTTTATACCTCTTCCTTAAAACAAATAATTCCTGATCTGACCTTTGGTCATGTCCAATGACATCTGCATAATACAGACATTCGTGAGTTCGCTGGGCCAATTGGCCAAGACATCTTTCTATTGTCATTAAGCAATATTGAAGGTAAGCAGGCAATACATTTATTTAGTGTTAGAAAGGAGATGAGAGATGCTTTCACACTACACAGTTATGGTACCATGATTCAAAGTGCTGGTCTTGGCCTATAAAACCCTATACGGCTCCGGCCCAGCTTACTTATCCGAATGTCTTTCTCTCTACGTTCCACCTTGTAATTTAAGATCTACTGGGGAGGCCCTGCTCTCGGTCCCACCGGTGTCACAAACGCATCTGGTGGGGACAAGGGACAGGGCCTTCTCAGTGGTAGCCCCCCGCTTGTGGAGTTCGCTCCCCAGTAAGATTAGATCGGCGTCCTCCCTCCTTACTTTTAGGAAAAAACTAAAGTCATGGTTTTGGAGCCAGGCTTTCAGCTAGTGGACATAGCAGCACTTTAGACACTGAACCGGACCACAGGATTGTTATGACAATTGGAAATGGATATGTGATTTTGATTAGGCGACTATGTTAGTATATGATTTTAATTAATGTTATTGTTTAATTTTCTATGTATTTGATTTTACGTTGTTATATTGATATTATGGCATTGAATTGTTGCCTATGTTAGCCGCCCCGAGCCCCCCCCCCTCCCCCCGGAGGGGGGAGAAGGGTGGGATAGAAATGTTTAAAATAAATAAATAAATACTTTAATTGCTCTGGTAGCATCCTATGCAATCTGGTCTTTCACTAGGAGAGCTCTCTGGCTGATCAGTGTAAATGGCCCTCTAAATAATAGATCCTAGAATTCTATAAGATGGAACTAGTTCAGTTAAGGTGGCATCACAACACTACAATTGTGCAATGTGAAAGGGCCCCAGGTAGATGCAGCTGATAAAAGTGTGATAAAAGTACAGTGTGTACATCTTCTAATTTAGAAGTTTCAAAAGTTTCTGCTAGGATAAGGTTAGGAACATGATTGAGCTGGAATTTGTAGAAATGAACAAATTCAGAATATGGGGCTATTCATTATAAAAGTATAGAATAGTTGAGATCCTGCCATGTCATGAAGTTTTGTCCCCTCTCCCTGCACACTCTATGAAACTTCTATGGGCTTGGTGCCCTACCCGCAGCCATTCAGCGAACAGTGGAAAGTGAGGGGGAGCAGGCAACTGCACCTTTGTAGTCAAGTTGCAGAAAGGTAGTGTCCTTTAGGACCTCTGCTCCCCCATCCCTTTTGGAAGAAATGGCATTGATAACCTTTTTGAAAAGGAAAATGATGTCTTATCCTTTTGACAAATGTGAATCTCTCTGAGCATCGGGAGAACACCTTTTGAAAACCACTAGTCAAGAAAATGCATCACCTTGTTAGAAGTCAACCCTTTGAAAAAGTGATGTTCACAAGCATTCATGTAATGATACACAGGTAACTCAGCTGTTAAACTGCTAAACCATGTCTTTGAACTGCCAGGGACAAAGACATGCCACTGCACAGAAAACATATACTTAGCAGAGTTTTGGAAATGTTTCTTTGAAGTTGAAATTGCAGTTGCCCAAAACATATACTCTCCCTTGAAACCTCTTAGTTTAAAAATATGCTCTCAGAGACAAAAAACAAAGTCTTCTTTAAAAAGTAACATATCTTGTTTACTCATAAACATCTTGTATTAATTCAGCATACAGGCTGGTCCTCATTCTCCCTGCATTGTGTTCTGGTCCCTGAATAGTTGAGGGCAGGGGTACTAGGCCTTGCAGAGCGGTAGGCAACCTGGGAGAAGACTGCAACATACAAAGGTGCTAAATCCTACTGTATTCACATAAATTTCATTTACACATGCTTATGTCACTAAAAAGATTATAGGCAATGACAGAATGATTAATCATCACTATGAAAAGGAGCAGGTTCATCTTAGATTCATATTTCCTCTTCACATTGCAGCGTGTGGGGGGTTGTATAAAGAACTAATGCACTGATATGAGAAAAGGAAATCATTTAATGTGTGGATACATAGATTTCTCCCTTCAGAAAGCTAAACTATGTGTTTAACAATAATTGAGATGATTGAGATCTTAGGAAATGAGATTGTTGTGCACAAATGGATCGATGAGAGTAACGCAAAATGTTCCCTTCATCGATATCCTCCTGTTTCAAAAGCCCCCAATGTTGCTGGATGTTGGAGAGTTCACATCACCTCTCCTTCCCACGCCAAGAAGAGGAGGAACAAAGAAGCATGCCGACAAAGAGAACAGTAATGCCCTTGTTGCAGCAAAGCCAGAGCCCTTTATTCTGCCTCCTCCCAAGACACCAACTAGGATCATGAATGAGAACAGAGTATTGACCACTCCAAACCATGGACGTACACATGAAGGTATGGAGGCCTTTGAAATGCTTTCGGAAATACTTGTATGGGGCTGGGGGGTGAGGTAGAAGTACAGGTTGTCAGTTGGCATGAGGCCACTATAGCAAAGGGCTTCCTTATTATGAATGCACTTTCCCCATGAGTATATCAGCGCCTTGTGATCAGTGGTCTTGCTGTGCAGAGATCTTGTGTACTTTTCTCCTAAGGTAGTTGGAGAACAAGAGGTCTGAAGGCCAAAAGACCCATTTTACCCCAACCCTCCATTTCATCAATATTTTCCATATCAGTGTCTAATGAACAGGTTTTAATAGGGGTGATGACAGGTTCCCATAATCTACTTTCTGCCCATTTTTAATTCACTTGATACAACTTCTTCAAAGAATCCTCACAACAGCATTCTAAAAATGCTTATCTGTGTAAGTGCCAGGTTGCAAGACAGCTCACAACAAGATAGAGCTGATGATGGAAAGTTAAAATATTGTTAAACAAGTCATCATATTAAAACACTGGGTCATACTTGGTTACTTTTTTTAAATTACCTTTATTGACTATCAGTTAAATTGCCATCTTTATTTTTTCCATATATTTTTATTATTCATTTCAAAAAAAAATCACACAAAAAGAAAAGGAGGTGAGGGTTGTGGAGTTCCGATTAGTAGATTAGGACTATACAAATGTCTACTATATCACCAAGGAAGGGGATTGAGGGGGAAGAGAAATCTTATATTTAGAATCAACTATAGAGTTGAAAGAGACCTTGTGGGCCATCCAGTCGAACCTGCCAGGAAACAGGAAAACCACATTCAAAACACCCCCAACAGATGGCCATCCAGCCTCTGTTTAAAAGCCTCCAAAGAAGGAGCCTCCACCACACTCTGGGCAGAGAGTTCCACTACTGAACACCTCTCACAGTCAGAAAGTTCTTCCTCATGTTCATGTGGAATCTCCTTTCTTGCAGTTTGAAGCCATTGTTCCGTGTCCTAGTCTCCAGGGCAGCAGAAAACAAATTGGTCCCTCCTCCCTGTGATTTCCTCTCATATATTTATACATGGCTATCATGTCTCCTCTCAGCCTTCTCTTATGCAGCCCAAACATGCCCAGCTCTTTAAGTCACTCCTCACAGGGCTTGTTCTCCAGACCCTTGATCATTTTAGTCACCCTCCTCAGCACACATTCCAGCTTGTCAACATCTCCCTTAAATTGTGATGCCCAGAACTGGACACAGTGTGATTCCAGGTATGATCTGACCAAGGCAGAATAGAGGGGTTGCATGACTTCCTATATGACACTATATTCCTATTTGTGCAGGCCAAAATCCCATTGGCTTTTTTAGCCGCCACATCACATTGTTGGCTCATGTTTAACTTGTCCATGAGGACTCCCAACATCTTTTTCACATGTACTGCAGGCATGTGAAAATGCAGGCGTCCCCCATTCTGTATCTTTGCATTTCGTTTTTTTTCTGCCTAAGTGGAGTATCTTGCATTTGTCCCTGTTAAACTTCATTTGGTAGTTTTGATCCATCTCTCAGATCTGTTAAGATAGTTTTGAATTCTGCTCCTGTCTTCTGGAGTATTGGCTACTACTTTCTGCCTATTTTTAATTCAAGCTAAGATACAGATGTATAATTATTAGATCTGTATCTTCAATTCAAGTACTATTATACATGGTTTTGGAAGTTCATCTAAAGTTTTGAAAGTTACAAATGTCCTCCGTAACAGAAGATAACACACTGTTGTCATCCAATGTCAAAACTGGTGGTCATGTCTTCCCATACTATCTGATGTTCTTCCTATCTTCCAGTTCTTTACATGTATTTTATCTAATTTTAAGTGTTAACATAAACATCTAAAAATTCAGTTCCCTTTGTTATTAAATTAATATTGTGTAGGTGAGAATTCACTATGTTGCACGGTCATTTTTCTTTCTTTAAACACTACACAGACATTTTGTATTATACATATGTGTGGGTGTGTATTTGTGTGTGGGTATAGATATAAAATATCTAAATAAGAACGCCTTGTTACTTCGTTACTTGAAAAGTTACTTGTGATTACTTGTTTTGATCTTATTCCACTACAACTCGCAAAGATTTAACTTTTTTGCTGTCCAGAGTCTTCCTTTAAGTTCCACCTCGTGTTTGAGGTCTGAATTCTCCATCCCTTTCATTTTGATGCTTTCCTTTTAATAGCCCACCTTAAAGCATCTCACTTCCTGGGGGCACTGAGTGTATCCAGTCTTTATCCAGTTTTTTGGGTGCTTCATTGAGGTGGGAGATGGAGTTCTTTAAGCTTATAATTTTTCTGTTCACACCTGGGTGATTTGTGAAATGTGCCCAAGCTACTGCCAGTGGGTGACCCTGTCTTGCTACCAAGCTAATAAGCATGAGGAGCAAGGAGGAATCATAAAGCCTGTGTCTAAATCTGCTCATTCAAACTTGGGTGGTGTTTCTTGCAGACAGGAGTCAAGTCACCAGAGAAACCCCATTTAAGCTACCAACACCTGCAAAACCAGAAGAGTTAACGGCAAGAGTCATTAGCCCCGAGAGAAGGTAAACGTCCAGTTACTTGAACATATTCAGACAGTCTATTGTTCAGTCATAATCCTTGTATTGATGTGCAAAGCTTTTTGCAATGGCATCTATGTTTGCTCTGCAAAAACCTATTTAAATCCTTTCCTACACTTACCAACAAATATTAAAAGGCTGTGGGGGAAAAAATCTTTAACATTACACACTCCAGTAGTCTTGGATACATTCCTATTTTCCATAATTAAAATTCACTCTTGTGCCCCCGGAGAATTGGAGCACATATACAGTTCTCTCACAAAATCCTAAATTACTGTGGTGCCGCCAGTCCTTTAGCCATCTCTTTGTCAGTTTCTCCCTTCTCCCATTCCGAAACAGTAGTTAAAAGACCTTTCACTGGTGTGTGTGTGTGTGTGTGTGTGTGTGTGTGTGTCTAAAACTGCATTCCCAGCTGCTGAAAGTAATGGTGCGCTTCCTATCTCGGAACAGGTGTCGCTCGGTAGAATTGGACTTGAACCAAGCTCATATGGAAAGTGGCCAAAAAAGGAAAGGAACCAAAATGTTTGGGAGCCTTGAAAGAGGTTTGGATAAAGTGATTACAATGCTGACACCAAATAAAAAGAAGGGGCCTGCAAAAGATGGCCCAAGGAAATTAAAGGTAGGCTTGCCCAGCCTATTGGGATTTCTTTCAATAATGAAATTATCTGACACTTTCTAGCTAAATATGGAAGTCAATACAGATACCTCTTTTGGCTATAACATCCAGGATCCCCAGCACAATAAAACAGAGATTTGTGGTATATGTGTGTGTGACATTCCTCAAATGGTAAGCCCCTACCTGATTGCCGACAAATTGTCGGTTTGATTTTATTCTATTTGTTTATTTACATTGGTCTATAATGTATTGATTATTTTATTTGTTTAATTATTACTGTTGGCATCAAATGTTTTTCATTGTTGAGTCCCCCCAGGGGTGAGAAAGGCGGTATATAAATACTGTAAATAATAATAAATAAATATTTTGTTGTAAGCCACCCTGAGTCCCCTTCGGGAGATAGGGTGGGCTATAAATAAAGTTCTATTCATTCATTCATTCATTCATTCATTCATTCATTCCCGACATAACTTGTTGAATAATTTTGGTTTAGTGGTACCAGTCTTTGCAGTGTATGAATTTGGAGCAGCTACTGTGTAATACGATAAAGACATAACATACTAAACTGAGTTGCCTTGTCTTCCCACATAAAGTTTTGCAAGTGGCCCTGGCCCTAACTAAATATTTCTCTCTCTCTCTCTGCCCTATTTTCTCTCTCTGCCCTGCTTAAATTCACAGTCCAGTAGGTTTTAGGACTTTGAATAGAGAAAGACAAAATTTGGAAGGTTACTTGCAAATTTAAGTCCAAATTGTGGTCAGCTTTAGCAACTCTCAGCTTCAGGAATTCAGTGGCAGAGACTCAGCTACAGCTGAATGCCCTTGTATTACCAAATGGCTCTTGTAGTATAGCTTTTCTGATCAAGCCAGAACAGAAATCTGACAAAAAGGCCCAGATGTCATGCTTAACTACTACTAGGCAAGTAGGTAGGATATTCTCAAGAGAGTTCATGACTCAAATTTAAACTTCAGTAAAATACAAGTGGTATGGTAGTTACAGCTCTAACACCAAGATATTTGGTTTTAGAAAAGCAAAACATTGAAGCTCCTTTGACCACCTTTGAAGTGGTAGTTATCTGAAATAAAATGCCTTTGGGCTTTTATGCACAAGACTAGACTGAAAGGTTAAACAGAACGAAAACCCAAGGGAATGAGAAGCAAGTGTTTAGACCTGAAGTGCAGAGTGATGTTGGTGTTCGATCTTAATTTGCAGGATGGTAAAGTTAGCCAAAGATGACCCCCTTTCCCATACTATGCTACTTAGTTTATGCATTTGGAATCGTCCCAAGACGCATAATTTTAGAGAACTAGTGAAGTACTCTGATGGTGAATTGGACAAGAAAATGAAACCAATTGGTGCGAACAGTTCAGTGCACCCAACACATCAATCACAAGTAGCTGTGAAAGACTACTGTTTTGGTTGAATTTTTTCTAGGCTCATTACAATGTGACCACAACTAACTTACTGAATCCAGATGATCTGCTGAAGGAGATAATTGCTGTGCTGCCCAAAAAGCAAGTTGAATATGTACAGAAAGGGTAAGTGTCAAGTCTCAGTTTAGCCCAGTGTTTGACAGTAACTTTTTCTCTTGACTTTCAATTCAGAGTTGAGGAATGTGTCACTCAATATATCAGGAGTTCTCAAACTGTGCTCCATGGAGCCCTTGGAGCTCTATGAGTAATCGTCAAGAGGCTCTATGGTGCAATGCTGCTTCCTGCCTCCTTCTATTTCTTCTCCTGAGAAATGTAGGGAACTTACAGTTTGGAACTGCAGAACCAGCAGCAGCAGTGTCCTCCCGGAGTGCAGACCCTTTTGCCCCTGCCTCCCCTTGCCGAAACTCTTTTCCTTTCCGCCCAGACCCTTCTTTGCTTCCAAAACCCTATTTCCCTCCCACTGCTCATGGAGGTGCTTTGATTGTGCTTTTTCTTCACGACAGAAATAAGTTGAACTGGAAGGCCCCTGGGATTTCTGTTATTATTACTACCACTACTACAAAGGCTAGGTGGCCATCTGTGGATGGTGCTTTGACTGTGCTTTTTCTGCATGGTAGAAAGGAGTTGAACTGGATGACCCCTGGGGTTTCTATTACTACTACTACTACTACTACAACTACCACTACTACAAAGGCTAGGTGGCCATCTGTAGGTGGTGCTTTGATAGTGCTTTTTCTGCATGGCAGAAAGGGGTTGGACTGGATGCTCCCTGGAGTCTTCCACTGAAATACTGTTAAGTTTATGTTCTTCATAAATTGTTCTTCATTTTAAAAATTGCATTGTTCTTTCTTTCTGTTTTGCACTACAACCAAGATATGTGCAGTGTGCATAGGAATTTGTTCATGTGTTTTTCAATTAATTGACACTGACACTCTCCAACCATCTGCCACTGGCCTGACCCGTCTGTCAAATTTTAAAACGCAATGCAGCCCCTGTGTCCAAAAGTTTGCCCATGCCTGATTAATATAATATAATATAATATAATATAATATAATATAATATAATATAATATAATATAGAAACATTTCTTGGGGCTCCACGAGAAACTTTTGCTTCAAAAAGGGCTCAGTGGCTGAAAAAGCCCAGCCCTAGATGATGATGAACTGCAACTCCATTAATCTAACCAGCATAGTTAACACATGCTAGGATGTGCAGTTCCGTACTATCCAAAGGACCCAAATGTCCCATCCCTTTGCTGCCTTCTTACTCACAATAATCATATGGTGTGTAATTCAACATGCATTTTCAGATCTGTCATTGTATATCTATGGGTCATTAAAGGGAGACTTTATGTCAGGGTAAAAGGAACATAGAGTGTTTAACCCGTGTCTTACAGAGTGACATATTCCTTCACCTTCTAGCTCCTCCCCATCCCCCACTTTTCCATCTGATTACACTAACTGAATATATTGGTCCTCAATGTAAGGCTTGCATAGAAGTTGGCTCTTTACCCAATTTACTCATGTAACGATCTCTCCTGAAATACCTTGCTTGTTGTAAGTGCCTGAACTAATTCTGCTTTTTCTTTTGTCTTACACAGCTATAAGCTGAAGTGCAAAACACAGTCAGACTTTGGCAAAGTGACAATGCAGTTTGAGCTGGAGGTTTGCCAGCTGAGCAGGCCTGAAGTCGTGGGCATTCGCAGGCAGCGGCTGAAGGGCGACGCTTGGGTCTACAAACGGCTGGTAGAAGACATCCTCTCTAGCTGCAAGTTATAATCCTCTGCTCATTGTGAAAATATGGACTAGTTTACCTAACCCACTCATGTTCATTTTAGTTGCTAATAAGGTCCCTTCATCTGTCTGAAGGACTAGTATTTTATTTGTTGTTGTTTTTTTAAATAGAAACTTCTTTGTGAATAAACCTGGCCTATTGTGTCTTTACCTACCATTGTTTTTTTTTTAAACCTTGTGTATAAAGTCATAGAGTTGGGGGAGACCGCAAAGGGCATCCAGTCTAACCCCATTCTGCCATGCAGGAAAAACACAAAGCAACCCTGAGAGATTTATTATTTACTTCATTTCTATCCCACCTTTCTTGACCCAGGAAAAATTCAGTTCTACACAGGTAAACAATAAAACACATTTCATAAAAATATAAACGATCTAAGCATATAAGCAATTAAAACATATAACAATCTATCCAACAGATTATAACCACATATAAAACGTCGTCATGATTTCATGTCCAAATAGTTTCCAAAATCCATAGTCCATTATTCAAGCTGTTGGTCTCAGTCCGTAGTTTCCTATTCACCAAACCCCTGCATAAAAAGCCAGGTCTTAAGTTTCTTTCTAAAAACCAAGAGGGATGGGGCCTGCCTGATGTCACTGGGGAAGGTTTCCACAGCCAAGCGGGCACCATTGAGAAGACCCTGTCTCTCGTTTCAACCAGTTGCACTTGCAAAGAGGTTGAGGCAAAGAGCAGGACCTCCCCAGCTGATCTTAAAGCTCTTGTAGACTCATAGAGGGAGATGTGTTCAGACAGGTAAGTTTGCCATCCAGCCTCTGCTTAAAAGATTCCAAAGATGGAGCCTCCACCACACTTTGAGGCAGAGAGTTCCACTGTTGAACAGCTCATACGGTCAGGACGTTCTTCCTACTGTTCAGGTGGAATCTCTTTTTCTGCAATTTGAACCCATCACTCGAGTTTCCAGGACAGCAGAAAACAAGCCTGCTCCCTCTTCCTTATGACATCCTTTCAAATACTTAAACATGGCAATCATGTCTCCACTCAACCACTTCTCCAGGCTAAACGCACCCAGCTTTTAAAGTCGCCTCCTCATAGGGATTCAGGACTTCTAGACATTTGACTTTTTTAGTCACCCTCATCTGGGCATGTTCTAGCTTGTCAGTATCCCTCAACTTAATATTGACTGTGTCTCAATCTGAATGTGAGCACTGATCTCTATTGTACTTAGCAAAGACAGTTTCTCTAACAAAATCTAGCAAATAGCGTACTGCCTTTATTTTGATTTGGAAAGAAGTAATGTTCTGCCCCTGGTGGCACAGTGGGTTAAAATGCTGAGCTGCTGAACTTTCTGACCGAAAGGTTGGCAGTTCGAATCCCAGGAGCTGGGTGAGCTCCTGCTGTTAGCCCCAGCTTCTACCAACCCAGTCTTTCGAAAACATGTAAATGTGAGTAGATCAACAAGTACCGCTTCTATGGGAAGTTAATGGTGCTCCATGCAGTCATGCTGGACACATGACCATGAAGGTGTCTACGGACAACGCCAGCTCTTCGGCTTAGAAATGGAGATGAGCACCACCCCCCAGAGTGGGACACGGCTAGCCTTAATGTCAAGGGGAAACTTTTACCTTTTAATGTTCTGATGTTGTTGCATCACATAATCAGAATTATGTGATTATCAGATATTCATTTGCTGAAATGCTTAAACCAAGTATCAACTATCTTTAAAGGTCAGGTATGACTTTTGCATGTTTTATTTTATTCCACTTTCCTTTAATAAACATACAATACTATACCAGCTTATTGCCCAATCTTTAGCCATATTATAAACCCAGAGTGAGCTACATGTCTACAAATGGTGCCCCAAGTTTCCCCACGTGGTCACCGTGATTTGCACCTATGGTATAATCCTGCGCGCTCGCGCAGGCAACGGAAAGGTCTCGAGATTAGTATGACAGTTAGAGCAGCCCCGCCCTCCTCAAGCCCCTCTATAAATAGCCCTCACAAGGGGCCGCACTCAGTTCTTTATCTCCGCGTAAAAACGCAGCAACGGAAGGGACTACAAGAGATAGAGAATTCAGTAAACTAAAATATAATGGCTACTACTTCTTTTAAAAAGTGTGTGTCGTGCCCAAATAAATATCCAGATAACGACACACACCCTCATTGTTTGGTTTGCCTGGGAGAGGAACATCTCTCCCAGGCTTGTGAAATTTGTGCAGCCTTCACGCCGCAAACGAGGAAAAATAGGGAATTACGGCTGAAAGCTGCCCTATATGAACAAGCTCTTTTACCGCCAAAAGTGGCGGAAAATCAAATAACTGACGAAATTGAGAAGATCGATCCCTCAACAAAGAAAAAGAAAATAATTAAAATTAAAAAAATTAAGCCTGGCAAACCTTCGGAAGGAGGTGAAGCAGATAAGGTTTCCCAACTAAAGAAAGACAAGCCGCAAAAACTCCTTAAGGAGGGAGAAGCGGCTCTGATGATCCAACCGCCAAACAAAATGACGACTACACTTAATAATGAGCTTATAAATGAAACAAATGAAGGGGCGACCCTTCAGTTTCCGCCCGATGCGGGCTCTAAGGCTTCTTCAGTGATAAAGGAGAAACTTTCCAGTAACTGCGCCCTTTATGGGCCAAGGAAGTCAATACCACCAAAATCCTCCTTTTATTAGTCAAGGAGGTTTTTGGCAGATTGCACCAAATGGCCAATGGGTTTATTGCGGGGCCCCAACGCCCACGCAATGGCACCCAACTGGATCTACTGCAACTAACACTTCTAATGTTGAACATACGCGTGCTAAAAGAGTACACGCAAAGAAATCAAAAGGATCACAGGTTCAAATTTCTGAGCCTATGGACTCTCAAGACAATTTGCTACCAATACCACAAAATGAATTAACTCAATTGGAGGATTTGGAGTCCTCGGACGAGGACTTGATTAGTCAAGACACTGCTAGAGATGCAGAACAGGATACAACGAATGAAGATTACTCAAAATTTACATCACTACTGGCTAGAARGATTCGTGCGCTTGACTTACCAACGCCTAAGCCACCAGAATCCGTTGAGGARCCTATGTTTCCTGCASAGCAACAGGATTCTGTTGTCACTACTGCGCTTCCTGCTTTGCCATACTTACTTAAATTGGCAAAGGCATCAGAAGGTTCTCCTTCCCTAACACCCGCAATGCCTAGAAGAGTGGATAATTTYTATAGAATAGACRTTTCTTCTGCAAACTGGATAGCCAAACCACCGGTTGCGAATACAGTTATAGCAGAAGTAGGTAATGGACAAAAAGCAAAGAAAATTAATCCAACCCCTTCAGATAAGGAAGGGAGGAAATTAGATGCCATGGGCAAGAAATCTCACATGGCAGCAGGGCTTTACACTAGGATGGCTCATTTCGCAACTTACATGAGCGCGTATCAGACGTTCCTTTGGAACAAAGTACTACCATATATCGATCTTATACCAGAAGATGAACAGCGCCTACCACGAGCTTTTCACTCTGAAGCTATACTGCTGGCAAAGTTTCAGAAGGATTTTGCCAAGCATATGGCGGAGACAGCGGGTAAAGTCTTCAATAATGCCACTGCAATTAGACGACACGCTTGGTTACGCGCTTCTGCTCTATCGGAGGAAGGACGCTCTCTGGCTGAACATCTTCCCATGCATGAGGAAGGTTTATTTCACCCATCTACTGATGATAAGCTGAAGCATAACCAAGAGATGAAAAAGACGATGCAGATATATGGGTTTCCACGTCATGGTTACGTCCAGCAGAAGTCTCGTTGGCAAACATCTCAACCTTATTACAGAAGAAATGCTGGTAATTTTTATGGAAACCAACTACAGCAACGCGCAACCCAGAACAACAAACCATATGTCCCAAGAAAGCAATCATATGGTGCGAGGAATAGATTCCAACCCTATCAAAACAAACCCAACCGCGCTGGGGGAAATAAGCAGCGTTTTTGACATTACCTCTATGGATGTTGCAACGCTGGAGTTATTTGAATTAGTTTCTTCAGTTCCTACATCAATTTGTGAAGTTCCTGTTTATAGAGATTCTAGTGTTATGCATTCAAACACTCCTTATTTTGGAGCACGTTTGGCTCCTTTTCATGATGTTTGGTCTACTATTACTACAGACTCTTGGGTCCTTCAAATTGTGAAGGATGGTTACTCCATTGAGTTTGACAATTTACCCCCAGTGGGCTATGTAAGATCCACGCAGCCATCTCCCGCATTATTAGAAGAGATTACGACTTTACTGTCCAAAGGGGCAATTTGTCCAGTTCATCCATCATTGTATGGACATTGTTTTTTCTCTAGATATTTTCTGGTATCTAAGAAGGGAGGAGGTCAATATTGGATTTACGGGGAGTTAATAGATTTATTGTTACAAAAAAGTTTCGGATGGTGTCTCTTAAGACGATTCTTCCTTTGTTAAATAATAAAGTGTGGTTTGCAACGGTAGATTTGAAGGATGCTTATTTCCACATTTCAATCAATGTCCACCACCGTAGATTCTTAACCTTCATGGTTGGTGGTCATGCTTACCAGTTTTCTGTATTACCTTTCGGGTTAGCAACAGCCCCAAGAGTTTTTACAAAATGTATGGCCACAGTGGCGGCTTACCTCCGCACATCTGGGATAACGGTTTACCCGTATATTGATGATTGGTTGATTGTGGCAAATTCAAGGGATAAATTGGTTTCTCACATAAACAAAACGTTATTTCTTCTCCAGTCTTTAGGTCTGATAGTGAATTGGGAGAAATCCAATCTCATTCCCTCAAGACGGATGCAGTTCATTGGTGCCCTCTTGGACTCGGAGGCGCAGAAAGCATACCTGCCCGAAGAACGCTTCGTAAAMCTACGAGACTTGGTGCTGCAGGCAGTAGAAAGAAGTGTCATAAGGGCAAAACAGGTTCAGATAATTTTAGGCCACATTGCATCGACTACTGCAGTGACACCACATGCGCGACTTCATCTCAGACCCCTACAGGCATGGTTCCTATCGGTTTTCAACCCATTATTGCACAGTTCCAATATGCTCCTGTCTTTACCTACGGAACAACGCAAGGAGTTAATGTGGTGGTCGGAGCGCCGCAATGTGTGCAATGGTCTGCCATTCCAACAACCCAGGCCTTCCAAAATTCTAACCACGGACTCCTCACTCAT